GCTTGCTTGCCCTTTACCATAGGAGTGGCATGTCGGTGGTCAGCGAGTTAATTTAGGGATGGTTTACGCAATCACACCTGCTCATATTCTACGCACTACTTTGCATTTTAGATTATTTTCTTAAAGATCTGCCCTCAAACTTGTTTAAAAGTCTTCTTGCTTGATTTTTAATCTTTTATTTCATCTTAACAGTCGTCGAGATGACATGGAGTCACTAGGATACGTGCTGATGTACTTCAACAGAACCAGCCTGCCATGGCAGGGACTGAAGGTAAGAAGTACAGATAATGCAGGTTTTTTTTAAAAAAATTTTTATAAAGCTGGATTTTAGATGGGATTGCGCAGCATGTTTGAGACCGGTTTGTTGAACGTACTTGTTTCTTAGACACAGATTTATAGTTTTTAAGTGATATATTATAGGTTCATTTTGAAAAGCAGGGCAATAACTTTTCTACACTGGTTTGAATGCAGGTTATATTAAGTATGGACGTTTGCTGCCGTTATGTGATTACAGCAGAATACTGCTCAATGTCACTGAATATTATCATCTTTCTTTATTACTGTGGAGGGTAGAACCATAAAAGAATCAACTTAAAATTGCTAGGCAGCATGAAACAGGCCAACAGGTGGTGCCTAAAAAAGTGCTGTAAATCTTCTTTCAGCTGGTTTATTTATGGCCTCCAGCACTGTGGGATTGCACACTGATGGACAGCCAGTACCAGATCATAGTGTGCAACGTTTTCATTTTTCCCCACAGGCTGCCACAAAGAAACAGAAGTATGAGAAGATTAGTGAGAAAAAGATGTCGACCCCTGTCGAGGTCTTGTGTAAGGTATGTGAAATTCTACATCCTCACAGCAAGGCTTTTTAAAAGTCTGCACTCATACATTGTATGCGCATGCATGCTACAAAACCTCTGCTCAGTTTAAAGGTTGTGATGCTACAATTATCAGGTTCCATGAAAATTGTCATCTCCAGAACATTCAATACTGCTAAAAAGACTAACTGTATATCAATATGACTAGAGATGCACCGATTGCCGTTTTCTTGTCCGATTCCAATTTTTATTTATTTATTTTTTGTAAGTGTGACCTGCCTATACCGATTTTTGCCAATTCTAATTTTCTTCCTAAAAACTGCAAATGACAGCATATACAAACAAAAATGTATACTTTTTTTAATGCAAAAAAAAACAAAACATATATATACATTTACATAATTAAGTAAAAAAAAAATGTAAAAAATTATTAAACATTACAATTCCCCCAATCTGGACAAAGTTACAGATGTTCTCTCACTTAAGCCGGGCTCACACTACAGGAGTTTTAAAATCCTAACCGATTATGAAATCTGGTTGCAACACACACATAAGGAGAATCTTTGCAGATTATCTTCCCTCAAATCTTAAACATGCACACACTACAAGACTTGAAAATCATGGTGCATCACACACTACAAGATATTATTAAGATTATCATGCCAGAGGGAGCGCCTCGCGTGATCTCACACAGCAGCTCGTCAGCAATGTTTACATATGTTAGCTAGCGTGCTAGCAGCTTTCTGCACTCACCCGGTACGTTCAAAACTGAGGCGATTTCACCCCAGCGCTTCTCTTTCTCCTTATGGTTGTGATACGTTTTCGACACATTATACAGACAGTCGTTTTACTACAAAACATCAAGAAGCCGTTTCCTCCGTCTCCAACGGAGCCGTACATCAGCTGTTTTGCGGTTGCGCATTGGCTGTGAAAGTACTGACGTAATCATATAGCCGTCATCATGACGATTTAAATCCTAAATATCAAACATGTTTAATATGATCGGGGCAGCCCCGATTTGTGTGCGAGCAGATCGGGAGGTGAAAGATTCGATCTGTGAATGCTTCGCATTACCAGATAATCCGCGCCGAACATCGGGACCGATCGAGGTGCTGGACAAGATTTTTGCTCTGATTCTCGGGAGGGGAAAATCGGGGCTAAATCGGGCTAAAAATCCTGTAGTGTGAGCCCGGCTTTAAACAACTCTTAAAAAAAATAAAGTGCTCTATGACTAGAAAAGAGGTAGAAATAATTAACTGAAAAGGATTTGCTGTAACAGATGTCATTTCCCACTGTTTCTTAAGTTGTCATTTTTTCCCACTAACTTAATTAAATGTGTCATCTTTCACATCAAATTCTTACATTGTTTCAATTAATTCAGTTAGAATAATAAGAAACTGTAGAGCTGTTACCATTCAAATGAAATCCGTATCAACAAACTCCATCTCTCCACTGCAGGAAACACAGACGCTGCATCTGAAGTGGCATTAGATGTATTTACACAGACTGTTTGGTGAAGCTGAGGTGCCATAAATGCATTTACACTGCAAAAATTTGAATGCATAAAGAATTTTATAAGATGTTTTAAATATTTTTTAAACATACAAATAAGAAATGTTGGGAAAAATGTAATGACAGTTTTAAATGAAACCAAACCAGTAGGTGGCGGCAAATGACTGTTTGAATGAATGAGTCATTTAGTCCTTTATTCAACAGATTCGTTCAAACGGCTGATTCATTCAGAAACAAGGCAAGTGACTACTGTCTTTATGAATGGGTTACTGAAACATTGACTCGCTTGATTTTTTTCAAAAACGTGGATTCCTTTAGTAATGAAACACCGCTGTGTTGCTCGGAGACACAAAACAGTTCTGCTGTGGCTTTGATTGGAAGTAGAGGTCTGCATTCCCGCGACTCTCCCGCGGGACCCGACCAGATTTTTTGCGCCGCGGGATTAAATTCCCGGATAAAACGCGGTAGCGGTCGGTAACTGGTGGAATTTGAAAGGGAGCGGGCGGTCTAACAATATCCTGTTCCCAACGTCTATTCAGAACAGCATATCTGCGCTTTATTCTTACTGACCACCGGTACAGCCTGCACTCGAGACTGTTATGCACGCATGCTTTCTGCGTCACGTGTTTTATTTGCGAGGTCTGTACACAGCATGTGCATAATGATGCTCAGAGCAGGCTGTGCCGGTGGTAAATATACGGCCCTCAGACAGAACAGGCAGGTTGTCGATGAGTGACAGAGCAGAATAAGGATGGAACAAAGTGTGGATGCACTGTCCTTGAAGGACATTCAACTCGTTTTTATTTATATTTTGCTTAGCCTATCATTTTAAATGACAGATGTCGTATTTTTCTCTGCGACACATTTTCTACTGTTAACAGAAAAATGTCAAACGAATGTAGTATTTTGACAAGACGAATAAAAATAGGTAATAGCGCTGTTTTTGTACAGCCTACTTTTTTTTTTTTCTCTCTGCGACACTTTTTAATATTATAATTTTAATAATTGTATCCTGACAGGACGAATAAAAATATAATTTGTACAACTTTTTTTTCTTACCGTGTTGCATAAAATATTAAACAAATTTTGTGTCTTAAGATAATTCATATAAAAAAGTTAATAAATTCAAGACTTCAAGACTCTTGACAAGACGAATAAAATAACATACAATTTTGTGCAGACTACACTTTTATTTGTTAGCCTATCTCTTTCAGTAGCGGAAATTTAAATGAGATTCTGGAAACAAGATCTAAATTTAGTGGGAACGGTCGGGTTGGGAAGAAAATTATTCTAAGAGGACAGTGGGTGAACAAAGAGTGAATATATAGCGGGAGCGGGTGGGTGCGGAATATAACCTTGCGGGAGCTGGACTAAAAAAATAGCCCTGTGCAGACCTCTAATTTGAACTATTTTCATCAGCGAAATTCAGCATAAACAGTCAATATTGTGTCTAAAACGTAAGTCACTTAATTTTAACTTGTTAATTGAACTACTGTTGTATAAAATCACACTGCAATAGTGTTGAAAAATTTTGGTAGTGCAATGTTGCGTACCTAAATCATGTATTTATTTTTTTTACTATCGCAGTATGCATCTATAATTTTCTGTGTGTGCTGTTGTGCTCATTTGTTTTGATTTCTGCACGAGTCTCTCTCACACACTCACTCGGGCTGCGCGAGACTCATCTGGCATGACAAATACATTATCAGTCGCCATAAGTGTGACGTCAAAACAGACCAGCTCGAATTGGCAGACTGACTTTCTCACTGGACTCACTGGTTCAGGCCGGTCATGCGGAAAACCGGCTAATTCCGGTCCCTGGCCGGTCGATCGGTGCATCTCTAAATATGACGCTTGACCATTTTTGCATAGCTTTTGTGTGTGTGTTTTAAGAAATATTTATATAAATATAATATTTAAATATAAATATAAATATTTGTTTAAATTTCGTTTGTCAGCAGACTATGTACAAACATCCAGTTGCTTATTAGAAACTCCCATTCTATGTCTGTCACTCTCCACGCTTTTCTGTTCTAGCCTACTTGACTGTGATTTCAGACAGCCTTTTTCCTGCTAATAGTGCTGGCTATTCATTATAATAGGATATGAATGTTTTTTTTCTTTGTTCATTTCCTTTTAAGAAATAGCTGGTCAGGTTGACATGACATTTATGGAGCTTGGTAATTTTCTTTCGTAATATGCATTTGACTCTTTCTCCAGGGGTTCCCAGCAGAGTTTGCCATGTACCTGAACTACTGTCGTGGGTTGCGGTTTGAAGAGGCACCTGACTACATGTACCTGCGTCAGCTTTTCCGCATTCTTTTCAGGTGCCTGACCTTTTCTTGCATTGCCTCAACACTCCCAACTGGCCCAGAACTAGTCACAACTGAGGTCAATTTTTCAAGTAGAAAGTCTTGCCAGTTGTGGACTCCTCTTGATTATTTCTTTACTTGTGGTATCTAAATTCATTTGGTTTGTATGGGTATACTCACTCCTGCTTGATCACTTCCAGGACTCTGAACCACCAGTATGACTACACATTTGACTGGACCATGCTGAAGCAGAAAGCAGCACAGCAAGCAGCCTCCTCAGGGGGACAGGGGCAACAGGCACAAACCCCCACAGGCAAGCAAACTGACAAACCCAAGAGTAACATGAAAGGTTAGTAGCAAAAAGCCAAGCGACGTTTTCAGCACAAAACAAAGACACCAATTGCTCACATTTGTAAAAACAAAAGTGGATTTGCAACATTTGCTCCCCAAAAGATTCATGAAATGCAAAGAAACGGTGTTAGTTCAAGGATGCACCCCACTCCAAAAAAACAAAAAAAAAAAACAATTTTCAATTGGTATGTCTTTCAAAAGCAAAGACGTCCTTGGGAAATTTGACTACTAACTTTGTACCAAAAAATGTATATTCTTCTCTGGGACGAAGGGTTGGCTTCATAATCTTTTCTGTGAATGTCAGATAACCATCCCTCAAATTAACCCCTTTCTAAATGGGATGCTCTATTTGACAGATTTCTCCCAATCATTGTTCCTGGATCTAACACTTGTTAGTCTTGATTATATTGGTCTCTTCAGTACAAACATGGATACGTGGGAGTGATTTCTAACCACAGTCTAACCAAGATCATGTCATTTACACATCTCTTCATTGACTCTTACTGTACTTTTCTATATGTTTGGTGTTGAGGGAACTGTAATGTTGTTCTATGTTCATGTGATGACTCAACAGTGATATTTTTTTTGTGATTCTAGTTGTGGATCTTCTTTCCAGCAGAAGGCGTAGCCCATTCTAGGTATATGGACTTGGACTTGGAGCGCTTTTATTTTTCGTCCATCATATTATGTTTCCTGTTGACGATTAAAATGGATGTTAATGAGCATATAGAGTCTGTTTCGCACTACATTAGCGATAAGTAGTCCTGTTCAGATGGTGTAGGCTTTAATGTAGTCTAAATCTGTTGTGCATCTAATGCAGAGTAGGCTTGACACTTGGAAGGGCACAGTTAAGTGGAAAAGCTGCTGTCACTCCTCTTCCACTGCTCTGTCCTTTAGTGCCCTGGACTACCGCAGTATTCGGTTTGGGTGTTTATCACTATCAATGGTATACATCTCAGTTCTATCAGAGTTACCTTTGGTGCTTAATAGGCCTAAATTTGTCCTAAATTTAACATCTGCAGTCTGATTAAACTACTTTGTGATGTCTACAGGATTTATCAAGTAGCCTTGTTTGTAGGTTGTGGGAATGTTTCAGAGTAGATTAGAATTTTCTGGCAGTTTGATATTTAAAGTTGTATCGTGCTATATATCGTATCATCTGTATAATAAAGTAAATGGGATGTCTAATTGGCCACAGGACCGGGGGTTTTAATATAGTGACGGTGTGCCATCAACCCACGCAGACAGCTTTTTTTCCCAGCTGAGCTTTGTGATCTATTTCCTCTGTGACGTTATACATGGCTTTTAGAGTCTTTTTTTTTTCTTTTTCTTATTTTCAATCCCAAGGTTCAAGTTATGTTCTTTGTTGATAAATGCTTGGTAAAAATCAGGAAGACCGTTTTACACTGAAGGTTCATCCTGAATTAAGGCAGAGAGCAACTGCTGTTAAAAGTGGCTGGACTAAGAATAGCATTTGCTGATGAGGTGGTATTGGCCTAATCCTTTGTGCACGCCGTTTTAGTTTGATTGCACCCCATCCCCCTTCAAAAGCCAGGATGCACCATGTACCTTGCTTAGAAATATGATTGTAACACTTGGATTGCGATAATTCCATCCATTCAAAGATTTATGCTTCTTACAGGCTCGAGAAATAGAGTACTGTCCCTTTAAGATCCCTTTGGCTGAATAGCTGCAGCCAAGAATTTAAGTGGTGACGCTCAAGAGTGTTTGAGCTTGAACGAACTTTGTTTGCAGGGGATTGTTGGTTTCTTGGTTACCGGTGCAACTTTGTTAGTTCTGCAACAACAGAGGCCTGGAGCTTGTGCTGCTGTATTATTGTGAGATTTGTCCTGAGAGTGCTGCGTCAGCATACTTCCTCACGCTCAATGAATGGAGGCTTGTCAAGCATTTTATTTTCTTCTTTTCCCCTCGTCTTTTCCATTAGTGTCTATAGAAATGTCAAGGCTGCCGTAGCTAAATGTAACTACTCTGCAAGTAGTAGCAGCTTGAACCTAACAATCAGGTTACTTGGTAACTGGTTTGAATCATCTGTCCATTGTGGATTACTTCTAAATGACACAAGCAGTGACATGAATGGGCGACAACTTGGCAAAAATACTTTGTCATCTTTCTGTAGCTTCTAAAAGCCTGAATAGGATTTTTATGAGGAAACAAGTAAATATTATGTTTTCCAGGTATGGTCAATTTATAAATTTGTCAAAAGAGTAATGTTGAAACTGCAGTCTTAAAACAACTCTTTAGATTTTATTCCCTTGTCCATATTATCCTGTTTGATTTTGTGCTCCGTTTGCCTGAGGCAAAAGCACATTGATTTTTGGAAGCAGACCACAGTTGAGAGTGCTGCACTGAAAACATTTCAAAATATGTCACAGGTCTGTCAGGGTTTTTTTTTAATGTTCAGGATTGTGATTGTACATGACTTGAAGCTCCTTGTGAGGTTAGCAATTACATTTCCAAATCGAATCTGTACCGGTCTCATTTGTCTCAGTCAGTTTTAAAGGGATAGTCCACCCTAAAATTCAAATGGTCATTTACTTACCTGTGTGACTTTCTTCTGTGGAACACTGATATATTTCTCAAAATATCTATCTACCCAGCACTTTTTACGTATATTTAAAAAAATATATACACACTCATTTTTTTTGTCATTGCATTGAAATTTAACTGGCTTCCAGTGTTTCCCAATATTCTTCAGAGTGAGTCACAGAGGTTTGGAAGTGCATGAATTGAATATTTAGGGTGGACTATCCCTTTAACTAGTACGTTCTAGATGGCTATTGTGCTGCTTTTTAAGGTTGGTAGCATCATCTAGTATGTGTTTTAGTGAATAATGTCATGCCCCTCATTTAGTTCTTGACATGAAAGGATTCTTGAAGGGACAGCTGCTTTGCTCTTAACTGGTTTTAACCGTGGAGAGGCTGATCGTGCAGCAGCTGAGTTGGTTAAGGTGTCAGTCGGCTATAGAAGTGTATGAATGAGTAACATGCCTCAGTCGTGGTTAGTGAAGTCTTAGCTGCCCCAGTACCTCTTCAGCACTTGCGCAGTCACTCAGACTTTACGTGGGCTAAACAGTAAGCTTGGACTGTTGTGTGAAAGAGTGGATCCCCTCTGAGCCCCCGTGAATTTGATGACATGAATGTTTTTCTGAGATTCTCTGCAGCAAGTCTCGACTTTACTGCAGAGAGGGACTGATGACTTTGCACTTTCTCTCTTCCAGGACTGAATAATGCTTTGACGGGGTTGGCTGCATTGATTACAGTAGCTCAACCCCATTCAGATCTGTGCCACTAACTCTTAACCCTCTCCTCTCTATCTATCTGTCTCCCTGTCTTGCAGGTTTCTAAGCATTAAGACAATGTAATGAAGCAGAGCAGAGTGGTCGTAGCAGGATTTGCCTTCCAATCACACCCCGGCATCTAGGATCAAATTCACCAGAACCTGCCAGGCACTGTGGGCAACCTTTTTCCTGTTAAAGAACTTTTGTTCCATATACTATATATGTAATCGGTATATATAGATAAGATGCTCTGCATATATCTATATATTGGTATGTATATACTATATCCACACAGAGAGCAGGCTTGGTTTGGAGTTGGAAGCTGTAGCCTTTTCTATTGTCCTGTCCCTTAAGACTTTTCGCCCCTCCTCCTTTGAAACGGCAAACTGTAGAAAATGGGGATATAATTGTGCACATGCCAATATTTTCCCGAGTTTTCTCCTTCAGGAAAGCTGTTTGGGGTCCTTCCTGAATTCTTGGTTGCCCATCAGAGCAGCTTTGGCCCCCCTTTCCCTTCTCATCGTCCTCTCGTCACAAAGCGTGGCACGAACCCAGACACTCTTGTCAGAATGGAGACATCTGAGACACATTCATCCTTCAGTATTTTTTTCTTCCTTTCCTCGAGCAAATTGAAACATCTGAGATTAAATCTGTTTTGTTTTTTTTTTGTTTGTTTCAAATGTATCCAAATAATTAAAAAGGCAAACATTGGGTTTTGTTTTTATTTTCTAAAAAGGTAATTACAATTCTGCCTGCTGATGTGCTAGAGAGCTTCTAATGTGAAGATAAAAAACAAAACAAAAAAAGCATTCTAGTGACTACTAGGTTTCTCTTTAGAACGCTGCATTAACTATATTGTACTTGGTATTCTGAAGTCTAAAAAATAAACGAATAAACTCCACAGAAGTATATTCATTAAAAATTAGTCATCACTCTGAACTAAACCTGTATGTTAATTGCTTAGATGAAAATTGTATGCATATGATCTGGGTTTTTTCTCTTTGGAAAATGTTCATGTTGATTGAGAAAGTAACAATTCGTATTATTTGCTATGATAGGCTCAATGTTCTGTTTTTGAGAGAAAAATGTGCTCACTCCACCCTTCCCGTTACCATTTTTATATGCGCATATATTTTTTTTTTTAAATCGGAAAAAAAGAAAAATACTTTTTCAGTTTTATAGAGTTGTCTTTCCCTGTATTGAATCGATAATTTTGGGGAAAGGGTTTTTTGTTGCTTCTTCCTGTGGTGAAGCAGATCCTCTTGTAAAATATCTCTGGGACTTTCTCTCTGCAACAATTTTCACTGCTGTTTGGTTAGCAGTCTTCTGCTCATTTCCTTTTCTTTTTTTATTGCAAAGAAACATGTTGGAGGGGTTCTTTTCTATATAGTTTTGGGTCTTGTGAGGCAAGAGCAATTTTATTTTTTCTCCTTCGTTTTCCTCAGCCTTTAGCCACGACAAATGCACACCAGTAACTTGGCTTTCTTTTTTTTTTTGTTGATTTCCTTGCCTCCAAACTGTCCCTCAGAACCAGCTTTAAGTACTTAACAGCTGGACATTCTATAAAAGTGTAATTTATTCCCTTTTAGCATGTCAGAATAAATTAAAATGACTTCTCAGAAATGCTGTCCCAGTCTCTGTAATTTTACGAGAATGCACAAACTCGGATTACTGAGATTGTCCCCCTCCCTTTCCATTTGTTCAGGTTATCTGTCTCTAGTCTGCACATTTATTGAAGTACCACACAACCAGGCGTCAAACTTTTTTTGAAACTGAAAATTAAAATGAAATGCTTTAAAAATGAGAAGGCAAAATGCTTGGTTCTCGAGAAAATATAAAGCTTTGAATGACGTTGTCTCAAGTGTTTAAAGGGATATCTTTATGGAAATAATCTCAAGGTATTGCTGTAATCCAGGAAAGCAGTTCTTGTGGGGGTGGTGGGTAGTTCTAGGTGCTCGTGGTGTTTTAAATTTCCAGGATTTATATCTGTAAATATTAAAATGGCTTCAAATGGCAGGTGTGGAAATTGGTTAATGTGCTTATCGACGAACCTCAGAAATGGCTTCTTCAGTTTACTAAAACAATGCTTTTTTTAAATATTCAGCACTGAATTATTAATGCATTTATGTGTTACTAATTATAAAAATTCCTTTTTTTTAATTTTAGGGCAGCAGCTTTGTCCGACTTGTTACTGGGTCATCTGTAGGCGTTTCAAATCAAAGCATAGTCCCAGTTTACCTGTTATTAAATTAAGTAAATGACAAAGTGGTTTAAAATGTGCTGAGAATAGGTCTAAAATGGGACACTTCAAGGAAATGGATGAAGGGGGGAAGGGAGTGGGGTTCAGATCAACACATGCACAAAACAGCTGCTGCCTCATAGGGGGAGTGAATAGGAAGGCTCAGAACAAACCTGTTCAACAAAAAGCGTCAATATGTGAAGTTTAAACCCAAAACTTAAATATAACTGCCTTATATGATCATGTACCAATTTGTATTCTACAAATAACTCCTTTTAAGCACGTTCTTTGTATAGCCTTTGGTGTATTATTTAAAGACGGCCTTCATTTATAAAGTATGAATGACTTATTGCCCACTGAAGGCTCTGCTGAAGGACCCTTCCCTTTATGGAGGTGAGTCAAGCGTCACGTGACCGCACGCTGTACTGCTGTAGCTGTGTAATGTAATCCATGCTACACTACCACTTAATCTACCTCAGTTCCTCTATATCCCTCTGAAGGCATGAAATCGATGTTTAAAAAGATTAACTATTTTCCATTGAATGTACTTAAGAAAACAATATAAATTAAAAATAATGAAATAAAATAACTTTTGGGGAGGGGCAAATAATGTGCCTCGAAGGTAAGAGTAAATATATGTATATGTATATATATTTAAAACCTTTAAATGTGTCTATACATTTTGCCACTATCAGGACAATGATTATTGACGTTAAGCAATTTTATTGCATTTAATATTTGTATTACAATTTTTTAAACGTTCCTTTTTTTTCTTTCATATGTGAAAAATCTAAAATAGTTTTTCCGATGGCAGTTTCCCAGTGCATCGTGCCAGAAAAAGCTATTAAAATGGCCATTATAATGAAGTTTGGCCAAGAAAATCCTTTTATTGTTTTATGTGAAGTTAATATTGCCGTCTATGAATTCTGTGCTTGTAAAGCATATAATTTATATTCTGTATTTAACCTCAGGGTAACAACGAAATTGCTACATATCACCTCGTTCATGCTTTCTGATAAAAGATTTGGAGAAAACAAAAAAGCGTAATGTCTGGATGTAGATGTAGCAGGCGTCTGAGGATTTAAAATGTCCGCGTGTCATGAGGTGAATTTACATCAGATTTAGGCTAGACTAATCTCATCCAAACAGCAGATTAATCTCTCTGAGAACTACTGGATGAACTGGGAGTGGTCAATCCATATACAGCACGACACACGCCTCCTGTAGGGCATCTATCTGCACATCAATGAGAACACACCCTAATAATAAACACTCGTGCTTTTTAGCGACCGAGAATGACACACATTAAATCAATACAAGATCCATTTTTGTTTATTCTGGATTTTTTGTTGATTTGGTAAGAAACATTACTTTAAAAGTCACATATTTTCATGAGGGGCACAATAACGCAAAACATTTAATATTCTAACACCATATATTTATAACTTTGGCTCATACACCCAACTGCCACAGCTCAGAATATTAAAAAAAAAAAAATCTTAGTTCCCGTAAATGCCTCGGGCAACGACGCGACAGTTCCTCCATAGTCAAACACACGCGCCTCCTTGTGGCATTAATGAGACACTGCATCGGTTTCGATGAGCCTTTGTGACACACAGGCTGCTTCAGAAAAAGATCACGTTTCATCCTGTTGTTTGAGCGTAAACTAGTGTGCGGGGGTCAGTAATTGTATGCTTACCACGAGGGGTAAATGAAAGCCAATCCATTTGAAATAATATCAAAGTGTAACACAGAACTGCGCTCACTGTCTATGTGTAACAACTGGAAAGACTCTGTGCTGTGGGAAAAGGAAGAATTCAAAAGACCAGAGCAAACAGTGTAATAATACCCTTCTTTTACGTTAGGCGATAGTTATTTAGTTAATTCATACAAAAATTAAACAAGTAGGTGCCGTTTTGGCAGACAAGATGGTCATGTTCATAACGAAATAAGCAATACGGCGTCCAAATATTTAATTAGTACGTCTCATGAAACTGTAATGAAAAGTACGAGACACCTTTACACGTTCCGACACACCCAGCACGCCAGTGCTCTGGAAAAGCCCCCAGCATGTGGTGTCATTCACCTTCTCACACATTTCCGACACACCCTGTCTTAAACTGGCATTTGCTTTGACGTTTAGCAATGCACACTTAACACGCAGATAGCTACAGTCTTTCAACTGCATTAATCCTAGCGCAGAATCCATCAGAGGACAATGCTGAATGAACGAGTGAGTGAGTGTGAATTATTCATGCTAAAGGATTAGCCACTCCTCATACATAAAATGAAAGGCCCATTATAGTCCCTAGGCTTGTCTAATGACCTTAAGAATGGACCAGACTATCAAGTTTGTAATTTTTAGTTCACTTTTTATGACTTTGTGGTTAATCAGTGTAATTTTCATAACGACATGATGCTATTTAAATTCTAGAATATCCGCAGTGACTAGTGTGAGCATTAGGCCTACTATTGACATGTCGTAAAAATGGTTAATAGTGAAACTAGTAAAACAACACAGCTTGCAAAGCACTCAAAAGACATTTGACTGGTTGTCAAGTGTCTTTTGAGTGGGTGAGATGTATATTGTTGCAAATAAAGGACCTGTTTGTGTTCACAAAGTAGAGATGATGTCACATTCTCTGAAGTAGGCCTATGGCTTCCTGGTACTTTTTTAAA